ACCGGTCATCGGGAAGGGTTTGAGGTCATTGGGAGTGACCAGGGGTCATCTGTGACGTGTTGGTGGACATGGCCATGCTGGTGGAGAGCCAGGTCTGGCCAGAGTGACCACCGGTCATCCCGAGTGACCACTGGTCATCCTGAGTGACCACTGGTCACCCCGAGTGACCACCAGTCACTCTGAGTGACCAGGGGTCATCAGGAGTGACCAGTGGTCATTGGGAAGGGTTTGAGGTCATTGGGAGTGACCAGTGGCCATCATCACTGACTGTTGGTCACTCTGGCTGACAGGTGGTCACTCCGGCTGACCGCTGGTCACTCTGGCTGACCGGTGGTCACTCTGGATGACCATTGGTCACTCAGGCTGACCGTTGGTCCCTCTGGATGATCGTTGGTCACTCCAACTGACCAGTGGTCACTGTGACTGACCATTGGTCACTCCGGCTGACTGCTGGTCACTCCGGCTGACCAGTGGTCGCTGTGACTGACCAGTGGTCACTCCAGCTGACCGCTGGTCACTGTGCTGACCATTGGTCACTCCGGCTGACCGGTGGTCGCTGTGACTGACCGCTGGTCACTGTGACTGACCATTGGTCACTCCATCTGACCAGTGGTCACTCCAGCTGACCGCCGGTCACTCCGACTGACCGCTGGTCACTGTGACTGACCAGTGGTCACTCCAGCTGACCGCTGGTCACTGTGACTGACCACTGGTCACTCCGGCTGACCGGTGGTCGCTGTGACTGACCGCAGGTCACTCCGGCTGACCGGTGGTCGCTGTGACTGACCAGTGGTCACTGTGACTGACTGGTGGTCACTGTGACTGACCATTGGTCACTCCGGCTGACCGGTGGTCACTCAGGCTGACCATTGGTCACTGTGACTGACCATTGGTCACTCCGGCTGACTGTTGGTCACTCTGGCTGACCACTGACTGACCGCTGGTCACTCCGGCTGACCGGTGGTCGCTGTGACTGACCAGTGGTCACTGTGACTGACCGGTGGTCACTGTGACTGACCATTGGTCACTCCGGCTGACCGGTGGTCGCTGTGACTGACCGCTGGTCACTGTGACTGACCATTGGTCACTCCGGCTGACCGCTGGTCACTCCGGCAGACTGTTGGTCACTCCGGCAGACTGTTGGTCACTCTGGCTGACCACTGACTGACCGCTGGTCACTGTGACTGACCGGTGGTCACTCCGGCTGACCATTGGTCACTCCGGCA